TGGCTTATCAGATTCTGACAGACCCCAATCATACCTGCCGCCATCTGCTGGAGCTAAGTAACAACAACAATCTGAGAGGCCATCATCTGAAGCTGGCAGTGCAGTACAGCCGTTTGAAATGTCGACGGAATTTCTTTTCCGTGCGTGTTTGTCAAGCCTGGAATGCTCTCCCAGAATCTGTAGTCAGTGCACCCAACCTGATCGAGTTCAAAAATCGAGTTGATAGTGCACTCACTTCATTGCACTATCTCCCATAGTACAGTCTAATTTTGGGAGATCCAAAATCCATACTTTAAAAAAATTTTCCCCCACGCAAATTTCAACAGTGGATTTATATTTTGACGCTTCAAAATCAAACACTTTGCCCCATGCGAATTTCAAGGGGCAGTGACACTTTTAACCAAATACCCCATACCTCATGACCCCCTCCGGAGTTATAGTGGATTATTATTTTGACACTTCAAACTCGGTGAGTCCACAAGCTTGTAGTGACTCGTTGTTAAACGATTTTACTGAATTGGTTTCCATTGAATTTTTCACACTTCTATGATTTTCACACTGATCACCCTACGGGATTTGTCAAGCTTTAGCTTTTATACCCGCATAAATCCATTGTTCCATTGTTCAGCTGGTACCGAGTTCATTCTGAAGCAGACTTCGGAAGTACGAGCATCTTGATCATGCACAAAATAGAGGAATGTTTATGGTTGCCCGCACAGCTCAATAGAGTAAGGAAAAGCCGCTCTAACTGATAACAACGACGTCTTAAACTCTGTTCCCAGTTCAGCGATATTCACCTAAGAATGTAAATAAGCTCGAACTCCATCGTACGGCAGAGTTCGTGGCGGTTAACACCTCAGATTTATCAGAAGCAATAGTTAATCGTTAAAATGAGCCGCCGATCACAAATGCCGGAGGGTCAGAATTCTGTGTCAGTTTGGATCCCCACTGAGAATTCTGTGGAGCGTTAACATGAAGATTCCGAGGAACCCAGCATAAAAACAGCAAAGATATACCTAATCGAGAGTTCCTCACAGTAGCTTCCAAATCAGATAGCGCTCCGTATGCCCAGAAAAGCAAAGATGGCCATTTCGACCTGTTGGGACACTTCTCAGTAATGCGCATCCATCGACTCGAAACCATGAACACTAGAGGCGTGCATCGCCAGCCAACAGCTAACCCCACTGAGGAATGTGAGACAGCTGCGTACAGTTTACGAGCTAAATGCTGGCCGGCGGTTCAAGCCGCATATAGTCATAAGTTCGGACCCTGAGGGAGCTGATGGAGACGCACTATTGACGAGACCAAACAGATCGAAACAGAAGTCTCGTGTAACCAAGGGCATGTGGAGGGCTATCTGATTCGAAAGCACCTACGACAAATTATCAAATAAATATAACAAAAATATATACACATGTACACATCAAAAAATATAATTGCTAACAAATGTATGATGCAAGCCAATTTCACAGGCAAGATTGTCAGCCGGAGCATATAACAAATAGAAAAAGCATATTCCAAGCCAAAAACAGATCGATCAATCTATCTGGCTCCAAAAACGGTGTCTAGTGACGGTGGAAACCCTACTGTCAGCTGGCGTGCGGATGCATCGTGACTGTCGCTGAGGACAGAACGAACCGTTGTAGTTAGGGTTTAAAAGCATAAGATTATCGCTAGCGTACTAACAAGCAGTTCAATCAATCCAGGTAGGGGACTTCACAATATATTTCGCTAGTGAGCATTATCATGTAGAAGAAACAGAAAATATCCCACATGCATAAAACACCATGTTTAGGATGACAAAGAAACAAATGCGAAAAAAACAAAATTCGTTTCAACGTTAACCACGGTTCAGAATGTGTCGCAGAATGTCGCAATCCGTTAATACAAGAGCTGCTTCTGGCAAGTCAACAGGGAGTACCGAGCCGCTGTCACAAAGGTGGATCGCACAGCTCCGTATGGTAACGGCAAGGGTGTCTTCGCAGGAAGTCTCCACGTCCTAAAATGAACATACTGAGCTGCTCCGATGATGCTTGGGAACAAGCGTTAAAAAGTGCGTGCATGACTCCAAAATACATAGCAGCTTCATCGAAATGAAAACGACATAGTGGTATACAAACAAGGACAAAAGGGAGGCGCAGTGTGAAAAGCCGATAGTAACATTTAAATGAATCACGCGTTACATAATCTGGTTATCCGGGAGAGGTAGCACCATGATTGACGCAACCTGATAAACAAAAATTTCGGAAGAAATCAAGTCCAGATTTGTACACCTATAGGGGGTATTTTCGTCAAATTAACACTAATGTTGTGTAAATACTAAAACATCACCAGTGGAAAAATAAATAATAAATAGTAAGATAAACGAAAAGAGACACGTTTTCGTTCAAACAAACGGTCTCACAACTGATGCATCGTTGCTTTTGGGTCGAGTAACAAGTGAGACAGACAGGACAATACGGAATTTCGATAAGGGGTAGGAGGATATAGAACTTTAAAGTTCGAAGATGTGGAAGAAGTAGACACAGTACCGGCTAGAACGGAATGTAAAGGGTGAAGGAGGTCGTTTAGAATCTTGGGAGAACAGTTGTGACATGAGCCAGAATGCATGCCAACGATAAGATCAACGAGGGATACATTACTTAATCCGAAGTATCTGAAAGTAAATTTTAGTGGGCACACAGCGAAAGCATAATTCTTATAAGGAAGTTTGATTAAAAAAAGAGAAACAACATGAATATACAAAGCTTAGAATTAGAACACGGGGTACGGACAGCATTTTGAGCCAGAGCGAAAATGGAGTCTTCTGGCTTTTTGGAAAGCTTCAAGAATGTGTCGACCAGGACAAAGTATGAGATAAGAAAGCATTGAGACACTTAACGGTGGATAAACGTAGGGTGCTCTGGGCGCTCACGATCAAAGGGAGGTATCCAAGAGTGAACGTAGTCTGTCGGAGTGGGGGAAAGAGGTAGCGTCACAACACTTGGAAGGTAGAGAGCCTGGGAGGTTCGCCAATGCAATAGTTCGTGTAATCCAAGCTGGAGTTTCGAAGGTGCCTTAATAACTGGGACTAGATCCTAGGATGACGTCAGCAGGGTATTTACATACGACGAAACTGGTTAGTATGGGCAGATATTCGACGTAGAGGGAAAACCAAAAGGGTGATATTAAAATGGCTTATTGCAAGAAACCATATCGGCCGTGATTGTGCACGACCCTCAATCACATGACCGCGTGAAGTATGTGGGATTTGTAAAGTAAATGCGTCTCAGATTATAAACACATGGGAGAAGGCTAATTCCGAACAGAAAGTTTAGAAGCAACGACTTACCAAGGCTCCCAAAGGCATTAGTATTATCGGTAAACAGGAGCCGCGTGGTCATCATGCAAGGCAGATGTGATGGGATGTATACGATAGGAAACGGCATCTAATGTAAAGCATTGGATTGTAAGCAAACCATTTGGTATCATCTGTATAAAAATACGGGGATTGGTAGTTTTGTAAGCACCAATGCGTACGCCGACACATTTGTGATTCCTTCTTTAGTGCTTGTGTTATTTCGGCTGCTTTCTAGATTTCGGAAATGGTAGCGGTCGTAAAATAACAGTTGCAATGCATCGGCACAGTCTTTCAGAGGGAATGATCACAGGGAATGTGGGCCACTAGCCTTATTCGACACCAGACCTGTGAGTTCTCTGTCAACCTTGGTGTGATCAAATAAGGTGGGAGGATCAGTGATGGGGAAGGAGTGTGGGAAATGTGTTCAAAGATGAGTAGCTAAACCCTGCGTTGAGCTTGCTCGCATCCACAGCACTGAATATGTTACTAGAATTTGAGTCAGTTGCTCCAAGAGCGTCCACAGATCAGGGCGACTGTGGTTTCCTAAAACGGCTTCATTGTACAGGCTGTTAAACCATCCTATCTCAGTTTTTATAGCCACCCGCGGACATTTGGCACGGGCATTTAGCTTATTTTATAAGCCCAATCTGTTTTTTACACAACTACTTGAATAGTGAAGAGAATAATCGAAGAATCTGGAAATAGATAGATTGAGGAGTTTGCATTGAACTGACAAGCCTAACTGTGAAAATCGAGAGATCGTTTGAACGGATCGCTGAACTGAGCTTTGTAATGTTTCCTATCGAACAGATTCGCCGTTTAACAGTTCGGAATTGCCATTTGTTCCTCGAAACGTAGTTGGCTCAACAATAGGTCCTGGGAAATGTCTTTACAATGCAATGATCCGAATCGGCAAAGAAAATAGGTTGTTTGTCAGCGGAAACTAAATGCAAATGTGTACCGAGTCTGGTGTGGAATTCGACGAAGTTGGTTAGACCCAGTGTGTTAATGAAAAAGATGTTACTTTTATTGAAGTCACTAGCAAAGATGTGGATGGAGCATTCTAAGCTCGACTGCAGCTCCAAGACAGGGTTATGTGCAAACATTGTGTGATTATATGATGTGGGAGGATTCAAGAAAAGACCGAATCAATGACTCAGTTCATAAGTCCTACAAGAACTGAACAGCCAATCACACTAATATGGTCCATTCCACCACCAAGTGTTGATCTACAAAAATCCCAAACGCGAAGAGAAAATGGAGGACCATGGAAGTCGCGGAGGAAAAAAATTGAATCCTGTCAAAAAAACGGACAGTCACCTCAGTACCCAGTCAGCACCATCTTAGGGCAGCAGTAAAAACGACACACAGCATCGAGGAGCATAAAGACTGAACTCACCGAAACTTTCCAAAAATGAATGTTAAAGTTTTACTAATCCCACGCAAATATGGGAACGTAACCTTAGTGGATAAATAGTGAAAATCGCCAAGGTACGTATGAAAAGGACCCTCGGCCGTTGGGTGTCACTAATGATAAACACCGAGCGCAGTGTGATATAAACATCAAAGAAAACTAACAGTTTCAATACCTAGAAGCGGTCGGTAACGGGGGCAGGCACGCGGCGTATTAGCAAGCGAGGAAAGCGGAGGTAGAACTAACCTTGGAGGGAACTCGATCCACGAGTAGGAGTGGTCGATTGCGAGATATGCTCGTGGTTCGGTGATGCTCAATCAACTGATTGATAGAGTCGAACTTTGATAACCAGAAAAAGTATTTCCCGTTGTCGTCTTGGAGGACTTTAAAATGCAGCACTTCGGAGCCCTGTCTAGAAGAGGGTGAGGGAGGGAAAACAAGTGGATAGGTGGATATTTTGAATGGAAGCGTTAAATAAAACGACTAGGAAAAAGTGGAGCAAAATTACACACACATTGACGGAGACGGTAAAACGATAATACACTGTGGATAATACGATTTGGCGTTTATCTAAACGGACAGTGGAGCACTATCAGCGGCAGATAGGTATGGTCCGGTGCATCAAGAGTTCCAACCTAGGACATCTGGTCGAAACTGAACTCCAAATTCGGACTGCTGGTGTTTTAAGGTATTTTATCTTGTGTTGAAACGCTACTCCAAAGGGCTTAGGAAATGAATGCTGCGGACGGCCGAGGTCATTGCGAGCAGTTTAACATAACTTGAGCTATGCAAACAGAGGACACTTGTCCCTGGAATAGATAGACTTCCAGAGTTTTCACCGCACACATTGACAGTAAGCGGTCAAAAAGCACGTGCTGTCTCGTAAGTATGTACGTGCCTATGTGCACCTACGTGCATTGTGGTAGCAACTGTCTGAGAAAAGTGATCAATTTGTCGAGTCAGACAGCGTGAATCTTGCCTCGTTCTGACTCCACCGATCTCTACCGCGTTTCACCAATCTATCCTGTCTCAAATTTCTAGTTCATAATTGTAAACGCCTGAGGAGATATATCGAAAAGAGTGCTTCTCGCAACCTTCTATTCTAACTGTGATATGTGTGAACAGCGACCTGTGATGTAAAAACAGCAAATGCAACCTGAAATACTGTTTCGCCGGGTCGGCAATGCCACATAGTTGAATACATGGTAGGGGTACTGTCTTTCGATGAAGGTGTAGTCGAAAAAACAAGATGTGTATTAGGGGGTGATTCATTCTACGAGAGTTGAATGGTTCGCAGGTGGTTAAAGTATGAGTTATGTAATATGCCGATGATTACACAACATGGAAAACCGCAACAGCTGTAATGTATTATGTGCACAAAATCAGATGAGCAGCTGGAACAAAAACCTGTCACATCAGGCAAAGAGAGGCAACCGCCTGGGAGGAGCGATTTACAAAGTTCCAGCACATGAAAGTCCTAGGTACCTGGGACCCTTAGAAATCGATGAGACACAAGGACTGAGTGTGTTAACATTAGAACGCCCGGAGCAGTCATTTTGACCGCTCAACGTTTTTATATGTGCGTAATTTCTACATTCCTGAATATTCTCAAAGATAATTCATGACTTCAGAAGGTTTGAATACAATTCGGTTTTGGTAGGGTTTTACTGTGGCCACAATAAAACCCTACCAAAACCGATTTGTATTCAAACCTTCTAAAATCATGAAATCCCAGTCGGTTCCAAGCATATTCCGAGATAATTCATGACTTTTAATATTTTTATTCGTACCTTATAACAGTGAAGTTTTCCTTTGAAATCTGTTCTAGTTTTAGCGAAAACAGAGAGTTGTGTTCTTGCTACCTAAAAAACCCATTGACGGTCACATTGACTGGTTTCTGCTTTCCTAGTCAGACGACACCTTTATCCACAATGGCTCGTAGGAGGAGAATAGCTTTTGACATTTTACGAGAACTCACAGCTGTCGATTATGGCAAGTCTGAAGACAAGAATATGATGTTAATGAGAAATTCACTATTCAAGAGTCCGGAGAAGATTAAAGCATCTCTGATAGTCGAAGTTCTGACAGTGATACTTCTCATGAAGACAGCAGTAAGGGCGAAAACCATGAAAATGTGTAAGTTGTTGCTGTATCTTCCAGTGAAGTTCAGGTATCAAAAGTTGGTACATCGTGAATCCCCAGAAGAGTTCCAAGCAAATACTGTTGGCAGGATGGCAGCAAAGAATATTTTCAAGACATGACCACGACCAACTGCATATGTTAAAAAATGTGCAAACTATCAGAAGTGAAAGATGGCAGACTGACAAATTTACTTTGATTTCTGAATTATGGAAAGTAAATATTCGCAACTCTAAACAGTGCTATGTGCCAGCAGAGAACCATATCGTCTACGAGCAATAGCTTCGCACCAAAATCGCTGTCGTTTTTTTCAGTATATGGCAAACAAACCTGATAAGTCGGGTATCAAGTTTCGTATTCTTGCAGCAATGGCAACAAATATCTCGTAGATGGATTTCCATACCTCGGAAATCTCGGACGTGTGGAGGAAGTATTCCAGAGAGCGTGGTATTAAGCCTTATGTCAGCCTTCATTGGAAAAGGCTACAATGTCACACGTGGTAACTTCTACACATCGGCAGCATTGGGAGTAATATTCTCCAAGAAAAGTACAAGTATAATGGGAACTATCCGAGCAAACAGACGGGAAGTACTAACGAGTTTGAAACAAAGTAAAGAACGGTACAGTTCACTTAATAGGAAGAATAAAAATAAGCACACACTGACATCCTATCAGTGCAAAAGGAATAAAACTGGTTTGGGTTAAAGTTCCTTGCCCAGTAGCCCTTCCTTTCAAGACTCTGGAAAGAAGTCCGAGACTGCATTATTTTGTAACTCCACGAAGTTAAGTGAACTCACAGTCAAGTCTTGACGATGGCCAGTCCAAGTATTCTTCGATGTGCTGGATTTGGAAGGCATTAATTCCTGGATAATTTATAATGGTGTTTCTGGAAATATAGTGTCCCGCCAGTCGTGTATGATGAGTCTAGCGGAAGAACTGTGTGGACCTATGCATGAGACAAGGAACGTAACAACTGGACATACGTAGAACAGTTCAGTCCATTCGGAAAGTCGTGAGACAAGTGAACGTCGGCAGTGTCAGATTGGTTATTGCAGGCGACAAGTCAAAGAACACGTGCTCTGTATGTAAAAAGATAGTTTGTGGCTCATGTGGACAAACTAAGAGAGTTATCACTAGTTCCGAGTGTACAGTTGAATAGTAAGTACAATTCTTTACTATATTAAAAAGTTTCAAGTTCAATACAAGTATTTTTGGTTGCTCATATTTTTACACCTTGTTATGAATAGATGTAAATCAAAAATAATAGTTTGAATAAACGGATACAGTAATGCGGTCATTTTGACCGGTATCAGGCATTCTAGGTATGACGGCGAAACGGTCATTCTAGTGTCAGGGGAAGCTAACGATATGGAAACGATGAAAAAGACGAGATCAGAATTGCTCACCAAATATGAGTAAGTTGAAACACTGCTGAGGGCAGGATTGCATAAGGAATCGGAATGCCTTCGCTTAAATACATGACAAGTTTTGCCCGTGTAAGTGTATACAAAACCAGACCATGATAATGCGCGAACTAAAGTGAAGTGCATATCCGAGAAAATGGCGAATAATTTGTAGATACTGTGAAGAAGACAACGAATGCTAAGTGTGAGTGTATCGAACTAGTGGTCGATGGACAGTGGACTGGAACCCGACAGTTGCCAAATGCGGACAACCAATCGCAGCGCAACAGTCGGCTGTTGTGTCAACGACGGTACAGCACATGGGGAAAGAAATATGTCAAACATATTATCTACAATGCATAGAACCGGTGCAGGAGATGTGTTCAATGCGCTACGGCCGATTGGTTGGTCGTCAACACAGAAAATATGTGTAGTAAGCACAAAGGGAGTCGCAATGATTCTCAACGCTGGCTCAGGAGTGGCTTTTCAAATTAATCACAAGCTCAAATGCCAAAACGATTCATAAGGCCAAATGTCGACAAGAGAACTTTCGAAGAAGGATATACCCCCAAAGTAGAATGCACCACAAAAAAGAAAGCGTCGGACAACGACCAAAGAAGTTTAAGATTTCTAAAGTATGAGAATTTTTGAAGTTTGTAAAGATTTATTGCATGCAGAATCAATTAGATAGTAACCGGACAGCTGTAGTGTTCTATTGAGATCCGTAAGCAGCTCGCAGATCTACAACTGATGGTCTTCAACCTACGAGTAAAAGACTTAGGTCACCGAGATGTGGTGACGTGGTGAACCACTACTGCCCATTGCTACCTAGAATACAGAGCGAATCCTGATATGCAGTCGAGGACTTCACCTCCGTCAGCATATGTCAAATCGGAGCGTCGCCCAGTGTCTAATGCAGTGGTTCTCAACCTGAGGGTAATTACCCCCAGAGGGGCCAAATGAAATTTTACAGTGGGTAAATATAAGTTCGAGGATTGCGTCATCAATCTGTCGACAAACAAAATCATCTATATCAAGACATGCAACTAACTGCCCAATCAGTGTCGATCAGAAATCAGTGAGTAATCTTTAGTGGGTGAGCAGTGAATTGGACAATTATCAGTAGGAAATTCTATTTCCTTAAGTACGGGTACAAAGCGACAGAGCAGCGCAGCTAGATGACACCTCTATCGACTCGCTCGTGGATTGTGTTCTTTTGAGTCGGGCAGTTGAGTACCGGGTCGTAGTACAGATTTGAGTGAACGCCAGCTTTGAGAGAATTAGTACAAGTAATATCTTGGTTGGATGGTTCCCCAGTGACAGCAACGGAAATAAAATCGGAAACAAGGAGTGACCCGGAACGGTCGAAGGTGCGTGATTATATCCTAAACAGTTGGCCGGACCGCGTAGGTGAAAGTCTAAGAGCATTCCACCCTCGAAGAGATGTATTAAGCCCCGAGGACGGTTGTATACTTTGGGGCTCGAATTATCGTCCCTAAACGGTATCGTCAAACAACCCTGAGGGAATTTCACGTGGGTCAACAAGGAAATTCGAAGATGAAGGCACTAACGCGTAACGACATCTAGTGGCCGGGAGTCGATCAAGAGATATAACAACTCGTACAATTGTGTGCTAGCTGTCAAGAAAATAAATCATCCATACAACCTGTGCCAATGTCTCCATAGCAATGGCTTTCGCGCCCGTGGGACAGAATACACATTGGTTCTGGTTGTAGTGGACGCCCATTCCAAGTAGATCGAAGCTCGGACAACCACATCCATGACTGGGTAGACCACTGTGCACATCATCTTAAGAAATATATTCGCTACACATGGTGTACCATGTACGGTTGTTTCAGATAACGGCCCG